CTGATGGAGGAATTTCTGTGTTAAATAAAAAAGGGAGGGGAAGGGCAGCCCCCCCCCCAGGCCAGGCCTCTAAAGCCCCTGAGCTGAAGGCCCAGCAGAGTCTCCCCCAGGTGTGGAGCCCATCCAAGGGCCCCTCCAGAGGGAGGAAGGCCTGGGGGCCGAGATGGGGGCCAGGGCAGGATCCGGCCCTTCAAGACCGCAGTCGGTCCTTCAGGAGGAAGGAAGGATTTGGGGAGGGGGGAGAGAGAGTGTGTGTGTAAAGCTTTTCTGCTTTGGTTTTCTCTGCCGTTGTCCCAGGCAAAAACATTGAACTTTGAACCGGAGGATCCTTAAAAAGAAAAAAAAACCAGTAAAGGGGAATCGATGAAGATTAGCATTGGAGAGGACCTACCTTCTCTGTATCACTCAGTCCGATCCAGACACCAAAGATGCGGAGAAAGAGGGGCCGGATAAGGGAGCGAGCCAATTTGGCCACGTAAACCTCCTCTTGCCAGCTCTGGATGGAGGCCAGATGGCCGCCTTCCGCCTTTCGCCCGCAGTAACTCTGGGAGAGAAGGACCACAGAGAAAGACCCTTGTTCAGCGGAGAAGGACCGTGTTGTCTCTGTTTGGGTATTGGTGCATGTCAGAAAGGAGCAGGGATCTGACTGCATGGCCACCATCTTAACTCTGTTGGCCCCCACAGGCAGTTTTTGAACATTGCATGTTTCAGCTTCATGAGTTAGGGTTTCATTCCCCCCCCCCCTTTATTAAGGCCCCGGACTGAACTCGGGACCAGCCACCTTGAGGAAAGGCCTTGGTGGAGATGGGGGGCAGGAGGGCAGGAAAACAAGCCAGGAAAGTTGGAAATCCCCCAGATGAGGCTGCTGCCCCCCCCCCACCTGGTGCCCGGAGGCAGCGGAGGGACCGGCATTGTGGGGGGGGCAGCAAAGAGGATCCTGGCACCGTTTCCTGCTGGCTCCCAGGGCGGAGAAGGGGAGCTCCAGGGGGCTCAGAGGGAGGGTCCCCAGGATACCTGCCTCTCAGGGGTCCCTTTCTCCCTCCCTCCCATCCTAGCCACTTGGGGGCTCTGCAAGGCTTTCCCTGGACGTCTCCTCTCCTCGGCCTGGGCTGGGAGACCCTCAGGAACACAAAGACCCCTCACCTCTGCATCTTCCCAGTTTTTCCGTTGATTGAAGACCCTGTAGCAATGCTTATCATTCGCAGACCAATTAGAGGGACATTCCAAGTCAGCTCCAGTTCCTGTGTGGGAAGAGAGGAAGAGGTAGCCAGGAAAAAAGGAGGAGGAGGGGGAGGAGGAAGAAGGGGGAGAGGAGGAGGGAGGGGAGGGAGAGGGAGGAGGGGAGGAGGGAGAGAGGAAGAGGAGGGGGAGAGAAGGAGGAAGAGGAGGGAGTGGGAGGGGGAGACAGCTGGGTCTGCAGAACCTTCTGGACCTACTGAGTATAAACCTCTGTGATGACAATCAAGTGGATGTGACTTGGGTCACAGACAGAGTGGCTGCATTTGCAAGTGGTCCAAATCCTGGTTCCCTTCAGGCTCGGTTCATTTCCCTGAAGCTGGAAGTCTGCTGGGCTCCTGTCCAGCCTCACTGGCCCATCATTCCCTGGACGGTGCCGAGCCAGAACAGAACCTTGAAGGATCAGATTAACCTTTGCAGCCCCAGCGGAGCCAATTAGGGCCTAGTGGTTAGAGCACCTGGCTAGAAAGCGGGAGATTTGGGGCAGAGAGAGAAGGT